ACCATGCCTTTCTACTTCAGGTCTCATCAGCTCAGCTCCCCGCCCGGCCATGTCACATGCTCATTCGGCCAGGTGTCCCTTCTTTGCCCCATCCTTGCCACCCCTTTGCCATCTGCTGCCTTCTCATTTGGGGGGACCTAGGCCATCCAGATGTCACTAGGAGGAGAAGTTTCATAGTCATGTGCAGCTGACTGCTCTGGCGACCTTTGCTAGGTCCATGACAGCCCCTGACACCGGGGATGCCAGGGGGTCTGTCAGCCTTTCTTCCCTCACAGAGGCACCAGTTCTGCCGGGGAGGGCTACTTGGCACGCAGATAGTGTTCATTTGACTTGGGTGGGAACTGCCTCCCTTTATCTGCCTTTAGCGTGACCCTGACAGGTGGGTCTGCAGGGCTTGTTGCTCTCACTGTCATGCAGCCATCCCTGCTCCCTTTGCCCTCTCTATTCCAGGTTCAACGCCCTCTGGATCGCTTCTTCTGCTCAGTTGTCACTGTTGCTCAGCAAAAGTACCAGTCCACCTTATGGTAAGTTTGCTCATCAGTGGGCTTGAGGCTTAGGATGGGGAGCCTGAATCCAGTATTGACCTGGGAGGGGAGGGGGGATGGTACACCCGGGCAGTGACATCCCTGGTCTCGACCCCTTCCTCAGTTTTGTTAAGTCTCTGCCAAGAGTGTGTTGAGGCAGGCCTCCCCACCTCTAGTTCTGCAGCCAGCCAGCCTGCCTGCTGGCCGGCCTCACCACTCCATGCCTCCCTCATCTGCCCAGGGACAAGTCCAAGAAACTGGCGGAACAGGCTGCAGCTATCGTCTGTCTGAGGAGCCAGGGTCTCCCTGAGGGTCGGCTGGGTGAGGAGAGCCCCTCTTTGCACAAGCGCAAGCGGGAGACTCCTGACCAAGACCCTGGGGGACCCCAGGTTCAGGAGCCAACCGTGCCTGGATCCCAGGCTCAGAAGCCAGCCGTGTCTGGGGAGCTGTGCAAGAAGCCCTTTGTGGCCTTGGGAAGTGGTGAAGAAAGCCCCCTGGAAGGCTGGTGACCACTGTCCCTTCGCTGGTCGCCCCATGCATGGGCTTGGCCCTTAGATGACTGTGGGTGCCGCACATGAACCACTTGCCACTGGACATTTTGCTGGCCCTGGCAGGAGTTCGGCCCTGACCCAGGCCGTCAGCCTGGAGCACAGGCCAAGGGGTGCCCAGGGTGCGTGATTCTCTTGGCGGGTCGGAAGCAGGGCTACATTTCCAGCAGTCTCGGTATTTTCTGTGAAAACAGGAGCTTTTCAGGTACCACCTCCCTTACCTGACACTGGTACAGTGCAATAAAGATACCCCTCCCTTCCCCTCGGCTGACTGACCCAGCCCTGGGCGTCTCTTACTTGGACTGATGTCCTGGCGTAATTACTCTACTCCCACCCTTTGTGCAGAGCTGGAGCTTCCTAAGGTCTGTCACCTACCCAGTCTTATGGATCTGGTGGAAAAGGGGCGGTGTGGTGTCCTCTTTGATGCTTACTGGACTTGGGCTGACACAGACGGCCTAGGAAAGCCCATTTCTACCCATGTAAACTAAGGAAGGGCTTACAAAATTGAGACACTGGCCATCAATTCATTTTCTTGACAAGAGGTGATAAAGAATCTGGGAAATGATTAGGCCATATGGTGCCCCATTCAGGGAACAGCTCAAGAGAGTCGGGGGTCCTGCGTCTGCCCCCCCACTTCTGGATCTCTGACATGATGAGGTGCCTGACTGTGAAGACTGCTGATGACAGCAATTTGGGGCCCTTACAATTGCCTGCCCACACCTCTGCCCCTCCCCTCACCCCCACCATCCCTTTTGGGCCGGAAGGAAGTGGCAGATTCTCTTTAATTTCCTCCTGGCAATGAGAAGCAAACAAGCGGCTACCACAGGCCACCACATCTCATGGGGCCTCCCCCGCTTACTGGGAGGGGCTGTTTGACCAAAGGTCCCTGCCCTGCACCACCGCCCCCGCTTCCTCCACAGTAAACATGCTGCTGCTCCTCCCCTTTCCAAGCTCTGTGGGGAGGGGGGATTCCCCTCTGGGCCCTCTGTGTTCCTCTCATCTCTCAGGTCAAGCCCCTGTGCTAGTCAGCAGTTCCTGGCCCTGCCAACCTGAGTCAAGGGTTGGACAGGTGAGGTGACTCTCTGGGTCCTGGAACTGCCCCTTCTTGCATCTACACTTGCTTTTCTGTATGCAGATAAGAACACTTCCCAGTATTCTGTCTCACTTTGTGCAAGTCACTTCTGTCCTCTCTGGACCTAAAGACCCACTGAGAGTGGAATCGGCTGTTCTGCCTGCCTGAGGCTGACGGGAGGCTAAGTAGGCTGGAGCAGATCCTATGGCCCTGTGTGGCTGATGGAGTCACTCCATGTCGAGGCTGCCCCAACTTCCCAGACCAGTATGTCCACAGAGGGGCCCTACCTAGGGCCTAGACTGGCGTGTTTCAGTCTCCACCACCACTCTTTAGCCATAATTTGTTGGGCATTTCTTACGTAAAACTATTTCCTTTCCTTCCCACCTTGCCTGGAACAGGGCAGAGAGTCCCCAGTAGCCCCCAGACATCCTGAGCCAGTCAGAACCTGTGGGAAGACCTGTGTGGCCAGGCACTGCGTCTTGCTCTCTACTTTCCTGCTGGAACTGGCCTCTGTCCTCAGGTTTTTGCTTCCACAAGGTGGTTTCCGTTCTCTGGCAGTGCCCCTGGGTTGCGGGGAAAAAGACAGGCAGCGCTAGAGGTCTGCTGGTAAGCTGGAGGCTGGGGTGGGGCTCAGGGATGTCAGAGGGCCCAGGAAAAGCATTGGGGAGAGCATCATTTATAGGGTCACAGGAGGAGAGGAGCTAGTAATGTGTCCCATGAGTGAGGAAGTCTGGCAGAGGTCCTGGTTGAATTTGATGGTTTCATTTTAACGTATGTCAGTGACAGTTCCCCTGGTCTTGGCACAAACTGCCCGAGACCTGGGGCTGAGAGGGAGAGCCTAGCCAGAGCTGAGATCTGCCCACTCTTCTCTCCATGCCCACCTTAAATTTAGATGCACAGACTTCTCTCTGAGCTGGAAGTCACAACTCCTGCCCATCCGTTCCAGCTGTCTTGATTGAGGTGCATCACATTTGGGGATCAAAATGGGGTTTGACATGCACACAGAGGGATGAATAAGGCAGGCTAGTCTTCTAAAAGCCACAGCAAGAAGCCTGGAGTTGTGTAGAGGCCTGCACTCTTAGTTCCTTCCAGGTGTCAGCCCTGCTCAGAACTCTTCCACGGCTCTCCATTCCGCTGGAGCAGGTCCAAACTCCTTAGCCTAGCAATTGAGTTCAAAGTGCTGACCCTGTCTTCTCAGTTCTCAGTGCTGACTTCAGCAGCTAACTTTCTTCCGTTGTAGTTGGCTGGTCTTAGCATCTCTGCCCATATTGGGATTCACTCAAGGGCAGTCCTTGTACCCCTATGGCAAGCCTTTGTTGGTGGCAGGGGTGAGGTGAGGTAGGGGGTGGGGGTGAGG